GCAGCCATGCAAGCACGCAGGCCCTGGGTGGTGCAAGTGGTTGAGCACTGGACGCCCACCCTGAAGGTTGGTGGTTAGAGGCCCTCAGAGGTCCCGTGGAAGTCAGGCCCGAAGGGCACAGCCTTGAAAAAACCCATGGAGCGGTTCTGCTCTGCACCCGTGGGGCGGCCAGGCGGCATCGGCGTGAGGTGACTAACAGCACAACACGTAAGCTCGAGACCCTGCTCTGGTGGTGTTCACGGTGCTGTTCAGAGACTGGACTCTCTCGTTCTTGATGGTGCCACAAGTGACCCGAGTGAGCCCCGTGCCTGTCCTCCTTGCTGCTCTCAGCCTCCGCAGTGGCCTCCCCTCTCTCCCCACTCCCTTTCTCAGTTGTAGTCACGTGTGTGCCGAGGCAGCACTGCCACTCTTTGCTGACCGCGGCCAGGGCTGGCTTCTTCCCGCTCTTCTGCACCATCCCCTCCTTCCTGACCTGGTCCCGCCTTGCTCCACCCAGCAAACCTGAACGCTAACCAGTGCACCTGTTGTTCTCTGCCTGTGCACCTGGTGAGATAGGGGTCAGAGAGCGTTTGCCCCTTCTTGGCGGACATAAACCGTCTCTGCCTGATTTGGAACTGGCCCTTCTCTGTCTTCACTTTGTTGTTGTCATAGCTGCCAGTCAGTTGGTCCCCACTCACGGTGACCACACGTGCAGCAGAAGGTCGCCTGGTCGGTGTCCCTCCACTTGCCAGCATGCCCCAGTGCTCTGTTGGGGCTTTTGTTCCCGTCCATCTCCCTGAGGGTGTCCCTGGCCCCCACGGACCCTCTGTTTCACCAAACACGATGTCCTCCTCCAGCAAGTGATTCTTCCTGATGACAGACCAAGCCAGGCGGACAGTGTTCTGTCATGATCCGTAGGGTTTGCATTGGCTCATTTTGGGGATCAGTGGCCTAGCTTCCAGCATCTCAGCACCATGCCAGCCCCCCCCCCCAGTCCAACAGACAGACAGACAGACGGGTGGTGGATCTTCGCTTTTGAGAAGTGCCTTCAATCACATTGGTAGCAGTTTCCAGGTGTGGAAGATGAGCGCAGGCCTCATTTTGACCCCGTGGCCCTTTGAGGTCTGTGTTTCCTCCTCCTGACGTTGGTTTTTCTTTGTGTTTTCTCTTCTTGCTGCAGGAAGGCAATCTCCCGGGCAGGCCTGCAGCACCTGGCTCCCGCGCACCCCCTCAGCCTCCCTGTGGCAAACGGCCCCGCCAAGGAGCCCAGAGCGACTCTGGACTGGAGCGTAGGTGTCGGCTCTTTCTTCCAGACGTAATTTCAGGCGCATGTTGTGTCTCATTCTCTGAATTCAAAGAGCAGCAAGCAAGGTTTACTTACCCGTCCCCATGTTACTCAGGGACTGATCTTCAGATCCCTAAGTGCCATTACAAACTCCTAGGAGCAGAGCAGGTCCCTGGATGGCTCAGAGGGTTGTGCTCGGCCACCAGCCTAAGGGTTGGTGGTTCGAACCCACCCAGTGGGTGCAGAAGAAAAGGCCAAATGAGCTGCTTGCTCGAAAATGCCTCCGTAGAAATGCCAGTGGGAGCTGTGCCATGATGCTTCACGTACCAGCAGGGCCATCCGTGGTGGACACGGAATTCAGCCCGTTCAACTCTGACGCACGGGGTGGCCAGGAGTCAGAATTGACTCGGCGCAGTGGGTGGGGGCCCTAGCCCCTTTCAATGACGTGAGAAGTGTCAAAGGCAAAAGTAAACACGTCCTGAGTCATCCAAAGCGACTGCCCGAGTTTGCAGCCGTGAGGGACGCCTTTCAGTGCCCGGGCTTCACTGGTTCCTGCCAAGCTGACAATAAACAGAGCTTCCCCACAGCCGCTGTACGGAAGCCAGGTGTGAGTTCTTCAGCTCAAGCGGAACCCTGTGTTTTTTATCTGAAAGGGTGATGTCACTTTCCCAGCCAGACCCTTCCTGTAGTCCTGTCCTTTATGCACCCTGGTATGTTGTTAGGTGCCACTGAGTCAGCTCTGACTCACAGTGACCCTATGTGCAGCAGGGTGCCCTAGCCCCACCCAGAGGTCGGGCATATTAGCTGGTTGGTTACATCTTACTTGTTTGTTTCTCATTTTTCTGTATTGTGTTTGTTTTGTTACTGTTGTGGAGAATATACACGGCAGCACAGGCACCAAGTCAGCCGTGTCTACGTGTGCAGGTCAGGGACACGGTGACGTTCATCGAATGTGCACCCTCTCTCCCTCCTTTGCTGAGTTGTTCCTCCCTCTGAACACAGACTCACTGCCTGCTAAGACTACTCTCTAATTTTCCCAGTTGCTGCTGTCAATTTGGTCCCATGTAGATAGTTCTTAAAAGAGCAAAAGACTTAACACAGACCTTTTTTTACTAGTGAAGCTAAACTCTTGTTCAGTTTTAAGATGACTTCAGGGGATATTTTTGGTTTAAGGTTTAAAGATTATTTCAGGGCAATAGTTCAGGGGTTCATCTACCCTCATTGGCTCCAGAAACCCTAGAATCCATGTGAGTTTGAAATTCTGTTCTACATTTTCCCCCTTTTGATCAGAATTCTTTTATGGAATCTTTCATCTGAATGCTTGGTAATGGTAGCCAGGCACCATCACTTCTGGTCTCATAGCACAGGAGGCAATTGTTCATGGAAGCAGTTAGCCACACATTCCATCTTCTCCTCCTGTTCCTGACTCTCCTTATCTGCTGTGGTGAATAGAGATTAATTGTTGTGCCTTGGATGGCAGACTGCTAGCTTCTAAGACTCCAGGCACTATGCATCAAGCTAGGAGGTAGACCAGAAGAACCAAGTACATTATTAGGCTAATTAACTGGAATATCCAATGCAGCTGTGACCCTAAACCTCCAAACCAAGGAACCAAATCCTATGAAGTGTCTGGTTGCACATAAGAAGACTCCGCAGCTACGCTTTTGTTGTTGTTGTTGTTGTTGTTGTAAATATATCAGTCACACAACTTTGCCAGGTTCACTTTTTCCAGGTGTACAGTTTATTGACAGCAATTACAATCATCAGCTGTGCAGCCTTGGCCTTAATCCATGTGGTTTGCCCATTACCGTTAAGCCCCTTTCCCCACCCTCACCCCTGGTAACACTAATGAACTCTGGTCTCCCTACGTCTACCATTTCTTATCTTTTTATATGAGTGAAGTCATACAACATTTGTCCTCCTGTGATTGGCTCATTTTGGTCAGCATAATGTCTTCCAGCGCCATCCATCCTGGAGCAGGTATCAAAGTTTCATTCCTCCCACTGGCTGAGTAGGTGCCAGTGGATGTATGCACCAGATTTTCTATCCACTCATCTACTGATGGGCATTTGGGTTGTTTCCATCTTTTGGCTATTGTCAATAGTGCTGCGGT